TGTGTCAGTGTCTGTCCTGTCTGTTCAGTCTGTGTCAGTGTCTGTCCTGTCTGTTCAGTCTGTGTCAGTGTCTGTCCTGTCTGTTCAGTCTGTGTTAGTGTCTGTCCTGTCTGTTCAGTCTGTGTTAGAGTCTGTCCTGTCTGTTCAGTCTGTGTTAGTGTCTGTCCTGTCTGTACAGTCTGTGTCAGTGTCTGTCCTGTCTGTTCAGTCTGTGTCAGTGTCTGTCCTGTCTGTACAGTCTGTGTCAGTGTCTGTCCTGTCTGTTCAGTCTGTGTCAGTGTCTGTACTGTCTGTACAGTCTGTTTTAGTGTCTGTCCTGTCTGTTCAGTCTGTGTTAGTGCCTGTCCTGTCTGTTCAGTCTGTGTTAGTGTCTGTCCTGTCTGTACAATCTCTGTTAGTGTCTGTCCTGTCTGTACAGTCTGTGTTAGTGTCAAACTGTAGAACAGCACACAGATCACACTACACTACCCATACAGCAACTAAACAATGACTGCATGTGGCACACGTACGATAGTACCAGGATAAATATCTCCTGCTTCTCCCCGGCTCCACCTGGTGGACAGGTAAGACTTTATCTGGACCAGAGGTGAGACAGAGGCTGTAATTATGAAATGACTGTGGCGCCACATCAGGAACAACTAACAAGACACTTTGATTCCAAGAACAAAATATAGCATCCAACACACACTGCCCAACAAGGAAAATGCGAGGCAGGTGAACCTGATAAAGGGTATGAAATAGCCATTGTCACACAACAGTAATTCCAGTAACACTGCTGTCTTCTGACACACATCTATACACCCAGCTGCACATACGACACCGTTTTCACAACTGCAGAACTAGATTAGTATCCTGTTATTCACTATTCAACGCAAGTTTTCATCATTCACCACGTCAGAACAAGCAACATGCCATTCTCCTGCTAAAGGAAATGAAACCACTCTGCCGGAACAGTCCATTCTGATCCACATCTTGTACCTGAGCAAACCCTGCCTTGGCAACATGATTCTGGGCTCTGGTTTGATCCGAGAAAAGCAGTTCTTCAGACTGACACTCCTAATTCAGACTGATGCTCCTGATTCAGAGTAGAACACCTGATTCATGCTGACACTCCTTATTCAGAGTGAAACACCTGGTTCATGCTGACACTCCTGGTTCAGAGTGAAACACCTGATTCAGGCTGACACTCCTGATTCAGAATGAAACACCTGGTTCAGAGTGAAAAACCTGATTCAGAGTGACACGCCTGATTCAGAGTGAAACACTTGGTTCATGCTGACACTTCTGATTCAGAGTGAAACACCTGTTTCAAGATGACACTCCTGATTCAGAGTGAAACACCTGGTTCACGCTGTCACTCCTGATTCAGAGTGAAACACCTGGTTCACGCTGACACTCCTGATTCAGAG